AAATCAAACTAACTGCGCGGTTGGCAATTGGAATCAAAATATGTGCTTCTAACAAAAAGTTCTAATCAGACCGGACTTACCGGTGTACACTGATGCTTCATTCAGATCCTTAACAGCCGCAGCTTCGGCGATGTTGCGGATCACGAACTTTGGTATACATTTGTCCTTAGGGCATGCTCGTCCACAATTGCTGCAACGAATAAAGCGGACGTGACCACGGCCCTTCTTTGATCGGCCATTATTCCTCCGTTTCTTTGTCTAAGAACGTTAACTTGGGGGAAAAAACAAATACCATGACCAGGCGGTAGCGTGCAGTCCGTAAAAGTGCGCACTCTCCAAAAGAGGTGATTTAAACAATTTGGTAGGTCAATGCTGAGCATATCTCAGAATAGTGATAGTTGACTCGTGCAACTGAATATTGCATTGCCTTTTTTGGAAGAAAGGTTACTAACTGAAGATAAATCTAACAACAAAATAGGGTTCAAAGGAAACCTCCGGAAGTTGTCAATTCTGTGAAACGTTTCAAGGGCGTTTTCGAATATCTAAATACTGTCGCATTTCAGGTGTATGCCACATGAGACCTTGCGCAGTACGAAACATGAGCAGAAGGCGGAAACGTTTATGAGGGTAAGAGCATAGGGCAAGCAGAATAACGACCGGTTTGAACAATACAAAACGTCTGCTGTGACTTGAAGAAATCATCCATTGTTCAATACTATTTCGGGAAAATTTCGGGCCTTCAGGATAGGCAGGCAGGTTAATGAACAGTCGGAAACTGTCTGACCTCGACCTATCAAGATAGTCTTGGATAACAAAGCACAAGTGAACTTGATTCTGTCCCGGAAAACAACCCTCCGCCACTCAAATAAGACGGTGTTTTTTCAGCCGGACTACTCTCCAGCGGAACGTCTGAAACGCCGAGAATTGGTGGCGGAACTACGGGGAGATAAACAACTGGAGAGAGCAATCTGGCTATCTTCAGGGGACAAATAATACAGAGAACCAA